CAACGTTGATTTGCTCATCGAATTAACGTTGAACCAACGTCAGACGCGGCATTCTTCAAAGCTAAATGAAATCGAAAATTGGTTTGCTTTCATAACGTTGAAACAACGCGTTGATTTCAAGTTGATTTTCCGTTAGTTTTGAAAGAATGACGCATCTGACGTTGGTTCAACGTTAATTCGATGAGCAAAACAATGTCAGATCAACGTTGTTTAGATGTCATATTTCCACGTTGATTCAATGTCAGTTTTGCTATCTGGGCACCCTACAGGCCTATTACAGATCAGTGGGTGGGACTTCACTTGCAGATACTGAATCAATATCAGCCATCTTGTTTGGAAGCTAAGCTAACAAGCGCTGTGGAGATAGGAAGTATGATAATGACAGAAGAAACTAAACATGATATGGAAGAAGATTTTGAAATTCTGCTGCTTGAATCCGATGTTCTTGGCTATCTTTACGAGCTGCAGTACAGTGAAGAGCAGCTGAGGCTGATGGAGGAACAGGAGGCGGCTGCCTGTCGCGGTCGAGGAGCCGGACTGGCTCGTGCTGGGTGGACTGCTGGTGCATGTGCTTTCGGTCGAGGAGCCCGGACTGTCTCGAGAGACTGCGAGACTGCTGTGCATGTGTTCTCGCTGTGCGCTACGGACACAGATAGAGTCGGTCTGCTGCAGAGAATTTCAACAATGGCAATTTCTCCTGAACGAAATCTCTGAATCAGACGAACACACGGACGTTTGTGTTGTGATGTGAACCATCCTAGTTTCGCCTGACTGAACATCCAAGTATCATGCAGTAATTCACCATAAGGAAATAAATACAAATGAGGAGTAATTCACCAATGAGTTTGCCAATGTAACGTTAACGGGGTTCGTTGTTAAGGGAAGAAGGAGGCGGGAATCGGCGAACATTTAAACATTTTAATAGTTAAATGAAAAAATACAAAACAAAAGTATAAGCCAGAGCAGTCCCTCATTGACGACTGCTGTAACATTACACACAGAAACAAAAAACAACATAAAATCAGGTCTGTTTCTCTCTCGATCTGCCGTTGTTGCTCCTCATTTCATGCTTTCATTCCTCCGTGAGAGACGCAAGACCGCTGTGTCTCACCTTTGTCTTTCATTATCACTCACACCACCGGCCTCGCGCCGTCCTCTTACGTCCCTCGCCCTCGATCGTCCTGCTCGCCACAGCCAACAAACTAGAAATTTTGTGTGAAATGAATTTCAAACTCTGGTGGCAGCTAATGTTAGCCTTGAAGACGGAAGAGCGATTTCTCTGTTTGCGCAGTTCTGGATTAGTGGGTGTGGGTTGCGGAGCTGTGAAGTTGTGGGAGTTGTTGTCTTACATACAAATGCGCCCTTTGGTTATTTTCTGTCTTTTCTCGGTCAAGAGGGCACCAAATTCAAAAATTCTTTTACATTTTGACTACATATATGATCCAATTTCAAGAAAGATTAATGTTGAAATTGGTGAAATGCTCCTTTAATACCAGGTGTAAACAGGGCCTCAGAGATAAACCCAATGAAGGTGGTTTTGAAGGTGGAACCCAATGAAGGTGGACCAGTACTAATAGTCCAGGAGTCAGAGACATCTTTTCCCAGTATAATGTGCTGCCTCATGTCAGATTGAAAGTCTGTGAACCACCTTCAAGTCGCAAAGCAGACTGATTGTGTTAAAAGCACAGCTGAAATCCACAAACAGGACCTTGGTGAATCCAGGTGCTGGGGGATGAAGTAGAAGACCATGTTAACTGAGTCATCTGCAGACCTGTAGGCAAAGTTGGACAGAATGAGGCGGTTAAAGGACTTTATTACTAGATGTCAGAGGTACAGGTTTTTATTCAAGACTTGATGGTGGAGATCTTGAAGCAGGCTGGCACATGGTGCAACCCGGTCTCATCCCAAATCGTCATATAACTGACGTTTTGGGACGTCTTTTGACCATACGTCAATATTCGCCTTTTTAGGGCCCCCTTAAACGTCGGTAGATGAGGTTATGGGATCCTAACTCTACCCCATACCTAAACTTAACCCTAAACCTAACCCGTCACCTAACTGACGTTAAAGGTAAAGCGTCAGTTGTATGACGGCCCGGGATCGCCATCTACCGACGTTTAAGGGGGCCCTAAAAAGGCGGATATTGACGTATGGTCAAAATACGTCCCAAAACGTCAGTTATATGACGATTTGGGATGAGACTGTGTTACATGGTGAGGTGAGGTGTTGAAGATATCTGTAAATACTGGAGACAGCTGATCAGCACAGTACTTTCTCTAATTACATTCAAACTGAAGTTAAGATGAATGAGGCCAGCAGGTGGCGCTGTAAAGATACTTTGTGTTGTTATTTACTGATTAAACATACAACTTTGTGGCTTAATCCACAAACTTTAATTATTATTCTTGTACATTTCTGCTGAGTAAAGTAGCGACTCGAATCAAAGAGAAAAGTTCATGACGCAATAAGTGGGTTTACAAGCATCTGCCCTTTACAAACCCTCTCAAAGTAGAGGCCGTTTATTCTATGCTGCAACAAATGATCAGATTTATTTCCATTACGCTTTTCTGTCTACTTTGTTTGTCGTTTAACCTGTCTAGACTGATTTCTGGATGAATCCCAGAGTGGAATCGACTAACAGAGATGTTGCCAGAAGCAGCTATTCCACTGATAATGATAATGCGCTTCTATATAAAGTCTGAAGAGACAAGAGGAAATCTGTCCAGCCATAAACTAAGACATTTTCCCAGATTTGACTGAAATCGCAGTAATTTTCCCCTTGTGTTTATATCATTTTGAACATTAAAAGACACTGAAAACAGTTATTTAATAGCAACCAGGCTCATTTAAATTACCAACTGCTGAGAGAAAACTGACTTCAGTAGGCTGCACTTATTCCCATCATAAAACATTCACGTCGTATTAATTAAATAGAGTGTAAAATAAGAATGATCAAATCAGAGCTTTTAATTGACATTTTAATTGTACTAACCTAAACATTAAGTGATAGGCTACTAAATAACAAATTGTAACCTCCCACTATCCCCCCAAAACACATTGCATTACAATAAGTGTATTTAAAGGAATACTCCACTTTTTTTTTGGAAATAGGCTCATTTTACCACTCCCCCAGAGTTAAACAATTGGGTTTTACCATTTTCAAATGTGTTCAGTCGATTTTTGGATATTTAGAAGAATATCAGTAACCAGACAGTTTCTGGTCTCATTGACTTCCATAGTATATTTTTTTTCCAACTATGGAAGTCAATGAGACCAGAAACTGTCTGGTTACTGACGTTCTTCTATATATCAGAAAATCAGCTGAATGGATTTGAAAATGGTAAAACCCAACTGTTTAACTCTGGGGAAGTGGTAAAATGAGCCTATTTCCAAAAAAAGTGGAGTATCCCTTTAAGTCTAAATTGCACATTTGATAATGAAACAGCAATTGTTTTTATTAGTGCTTGACACAAATTTCACAATTTCAATTCGCTTGCGAATATAGTCTAGATTTGAATGGATAAATATAAATAGGCTACAGCTGAATGTTCAAGGAAAAAAATCTCTCAAATAAAACATACAGGGGAGATTGGGGATGGTTGTATCATGTTTTGCCTTTTTTGTACTTGTAAGCAGTGTGTTCAAAATGTTATTCAAATTAGTTACAAGTGTCTGCTATCAAAGGACATAACTATCTACACAGAAAATGCATGGTTTAGTTTCAAAGACGAGTAGTAAAATGTTACAATTCACCCTATAGTCTGGGTTAGTTGTAACATACCCTGGGGTGAGATGTAACATTATGAGATCCACCGGATAATCAAATAAGGATTTTGACAAAAAAAAAAAAAAAAATTGAAAGCTTTTTATTCTATACTGACTTTTCAAAACAGCTGATATGTGTGTCTGTGTGTTTGTCACTCTAAGTCATAGTAATTGACCATTATAAATGACCTCATGAAAAATTAACTCATTAATTCAGAAAAACAGAGCAAAAACTTTTTTTCTCACAAAAAATTAACTCATTAATTCAGAAAAACAGAGCAAAACAATTTTTTTCTCATGAAAAATTAACTCATTAATTTAGAAAAACAGAGAAAAAAAATTTTCTCATGAAAACTTAACTCATTAATTCCGAAAAACAGAGTAGATTTTTTTTCTTCAAGTGAATGCAATACGCCTCCATAATATAGTGCATATGAAGAGTTCAGATGCAAAAGCCTCTAAGTGCCATTTGAAATTTTCTTCTAGAATGATCATTTTTATCAAGCTTGTATATTTAAGTTCAGTGATTTCACTTAAATGGCAATGATAATTACCTATTAATTGTTATTTAAGTGAAATTACTGAACTTAAATATACAAGTTTGATAAAAATCATCATTAAAGAAGAAAATTTCAAATGGCATTTAGAGGCTTTTGCATCTGAACTCTTCATATATTTGGCAAAATACTACTCGCTGTGGTTATTATTTTCTAGCTAAAAACAGAAGCATGCTATATTAAATGGCTTTCCTGGGGTAAATAACATGACATGACATATTGTTTACAAGCTGTATTATTGACGTCTTTCTGAAACACTGATTGGGCGACATGACATGATTCATTTCATTAAGTTGAGCTGTATCTTTCAACTGATGTTCATTCATGTTTATTCATTAATCAATCAACTGGTAAAGCGGAAGAGATGACCGGTTCACTCCCAGCTTCAACTGGTGCGCGACAGCGATCTGTCACGTGACACTTTAGAGCGCCAAAACGGTATTTAATTTATTGTTTGAATTTCGTAATAAATTTAAATTTGTAAGCTGAGACTTTATGCTGCGTGATATTGCAAACTGTCTTATGTTTAATTTATTATCGTATTTGTAATCATAAACTCTTTTGGTTTGTAAACGATTTTACCATAGGCCTGCTGCATTATTCTTCTGGTTGTTTACAGCAGATAAGGAATTAGAACTTCACACACATTCACAGAAAATAGCATACACATTGCAAAATAAGGTGGATAAGTTTAAATGGTTTATTAGTTTAATCAAAAGTAGGCTTGTCGTCCAGATTTTCCAATTCCAGTGTGAAATAATTTTTTTCCAGACCACGTTTTCACCCAAAACTGGTTTTGATGACCACACTGCAGACCGTTTTAATGCATATTTCAACATTAGAAATATCATCATGTCATCAAATTACGATGGGCAGCAGCTGTTTTGCATTCACATTCATGCAGCAGGAAAATCTTGTAAACAAGTTAATTAAAACAAATGAAGCAGTGCATGGTTCGAAATAAAAGGTGCTTTATAACAGAACCTCGTGCACAATGGTCCATGAAAATGTGCTACATCAAACATTAGACTCCGACTGAAAGAAGCTCCTTAAGATCGCTCGACTCCACAGGGTTTTGCTTGCAAAAATGTAAGTTTAAAGAGACAGGCCCAAGGCAATTATCCAGAGTGATCATGGATCATGGATCAGTGTCCTCCTGTGGTATCAAAACGAGACTGGAAATCTGTGGGAATGACCATAAAAAGAAATAAGGGTGAGCAACACATTCAGACCCCCCAATGTTAAATGATAAAGACTCTGATAAAGAGGACCTATACTTTCTGATTTCCTTACATTCACTATCTTTAGTATACAATGTTGCTATTTGAGCATAAAAAGGTCTGCAAAGTCGCTCCAAAAGAAGTTATTCTCTATATCAGTGTGCACTGTTTCTGAACTCACTGAAACGCCTCCATTGCAGACATAAGTTTTCCTCATTTAAATAACTCCTGCAAGGCAAATGCAAAAAAGATGCTGAGGCCAGGTTGAGTTGTGTTAGTAGTGCGTTGAACTCATAGGCTGTAAAAAATATGGACAAAGCGTCTGTGACGTCACCCATAGACTTTCTGAAGAACAGTTTTGAGACTGTTTATGGGGAGTATGGGCGGCGCCATACTGGAAAATCTTGGAAAATAAAAAATACAAATGTTCAGAAAGGATACAGAGATGTGTTGTGTCAGATCATGGCAGAGACGTCAAATTCCTATCGGTGCAGCCCATTATCAGCTGTCAATCAAAGTTAACCGCCCTTATTTTGTCATACATTTTATATCTAAATATGATCTAAACCAGTGTTTCTCAAACTTTTTCAGCCCAAGGACCACTTTATCTTCCATTTTTTTTCTGAGGACCACCTAACAAAATCCCACTCTAACACGCCCCCCCCCCACACACACACAAAAAACAAACAAACAAACAAACAAACAAACAAACAAACAAACAAACAAACAAACAAACAAACAAAAAGTTGTAAGGATAAGCTAAATTTAAGTTTAAATTTAACTCCTAACTGAGCTTTGACTGATATAGGCTTTTCATTTTTCTGTCAGTGAAGAAAGTAAACATAGGGTCAACTGATATAGGTTGATTTTGCCTATGAATAATTTTTTTATTTACTGAAAGCTAAAGCTTGGTAATTAAGTTTATTAACCCTTTCACACGTAAGTTTAAAATATTCTAACTGACCCCCCAGCATGAGTTTTTCAAGGCCATTTTCAAAGGAATGGCTGAAACCGTAACTCCGACATAATACACCTGAAAGTGAAAACTACATAGGGATGAGCACGTAGCCTACGACGGCCTTACGTAAACATATCACCAGAATGATTGACACTTAGGTGGACCAATAGTATAGACTACCCACCCGGAAAAAGAAAATCCTCCACTATACCTTTAAGGCCCCGATATACTCCTAAACTTGTACAGGTAAGAAGTTAAAATAACCAAACAGTTAGCAAACATCCATGATGCTGCCCATCCTGCTGAGGATAGCGTTTAGATTAATATAAAAAAAAGAAAACAGCAGTTAAGTAAACATAGCGATGTGATAATTATGATGTGTATCTGTTTGCACCAGCTCTTGCAACACATTCTCATCCCAAGGCGTCATCTAACTGACGATTTTGACCATGCTTTAACATCCAACGCTTTAAGGCGGGCATACACTGTGCAATGTCTGTGCGATTTCAGCAAGGTACCTACTCACACTGAACGAGTAAATCGCATGCGATGTAAAGCTAAAGTTCAGGATTTATGTGCTCACACTGTACGGTCCGATCGTCGAGCTGCGACTTCACTGCTCACACTATACGTGTAATATCTACGATAACCCCCTGGATTGCGCCTATTTATGTGTATGTATCCAGGGGTATTGTCAAAACAAGCATCTGCTAGTATCAAGATTTTCAATTTATGCATTTAATTATTATTCGTATTATTATATTATCATTATTAGGGGAGGCCTATAGGCTAATTTTATTATTAAATTGATCCGCTATTATAATTAATTTGCCACGCAATATTTTCACAGCACATAACCAACGTGCTGTGAGGATAATAAAATATTACATAATCTTACTCCTCATTAAAAATTGTCTAAAACATTTAGGTCGATTACAATGAATTATAGGCATATAAAATAACTATTACCAATAACTAATAACAGTCTATATTATGTCCGAACATTGCCATAATTAATCATCAATGAAAATTAAAAACAGGTTTATTTCAAAAACATTGTTTGACAAATTAATAAAAGAGGTATCGCAGGTGGCTTGGAAGACGGTGGGTAATATTATCCATTTTGCAACATGAACTGGAGGTACACTGTAAAAAAAAAAAAAGTGTTCAATTTACGGTAAAATACCGGCAGCTGTGGTTGCCAGAAGTTTACCATTAAATGGTCTTTTACCATTAAAATCACGATCATTTTTTACAGTGTAAGCAACAGTAATTTGTAGCTAGTTTGAACCACAGAACTTGAAGATCTCCCTCTTTTCGTTTTTATTTAAATTTTATTTTTGCTGCAGATGAAATGGTTAAACTTCTGTTTTCGCGCAGGTGCAGTGAGGGAAAAAACACTGAGTTTAGGGCAATCGGTTCATAGCTTTGCTTCAACTGTGCGATATAGTCACGAGGAGCGACCAAAATTTCTGACATGCCAGAAATTCGCCCGACCATCCGATTGTCGATCGTGTCGATCGTCGATCGTTTCACCCTGTACACTCCATGAACACTGCACGACAAACAACGCATGACAAAGCTGAAAATCGGTCCGACACGAAAAAGAGTCGCACGAGTCAGAATTCGGCTCAAAACGGACGAAAATCGCACAGTGTATGCCCGCCTTTAGGCACCCTTTACGCGATCCTAGGGCGTCATCTAACTGACGCTTTACCTTAAGCGTACAATGACGCAACCGTACAATGACGTCAGGGAAAACACGTACAAGGAATCAGCTAGTCACGACAGTTTCCTGGCAAAAAATATTGTCGCAAATTTGTCGCTCAACCACATGGTTCATGATGTCACGCAGGTGAGAAAGTAATAAATTTTTTTAATGAATCCGTTTGAGTTTGAATTAATGCTAGATCCGGGAAAACGTTCCATAAATCCTGATGTACTTGGTACATCATAAAAAGGATGGCGTCTACGCTAATATTAGTCTCTCTGTCCGAGGGACCCTCTATGGTGGACCTTCGCCTGGACCCATCCCGACTCATTCTTAAGTGCCGGCCTCATCGACACGACAGCCACTGATCCCCGACATCTCGTCTCCAAACCGGCGTGATTACTTCGACTTCCAAGATGGAAGTGGACAAATACTCTTAATATTCTGATCCAATTTGACTTGTAATGCAGCCCGAATCACACTGTTCCTTCATTGGCCAGAGGAAAAATGGCCCCCAACTGAGGCTGGTTTCTCACAAGGTTTTTTCTCCATTTAGTCTCCTGATGGAGTTTTGGTTCCTTGCCACTGTTGCCTTGGCTTTTGGCTTGCTTAGTTGGGGACATTTAATATTCAACAATATTATTGATCTGTGTTGTATTATTTTCATGTTATCACTGTGAAGCTGCTTTGATACAATCTGTATTGTAAAAAGTGCTATATAAATAAAGGTGATTTGACTTGACTAGATTTTTTGCTATAAATGATACACATAGCATCTGAGCACAAATTCAAAATTTTCTCCATATTTTACTTTATTTGCAGATTCAATCATAGGCTTTTTCGGTAACACTTTAAAATAATGGTCCGTAGTTAACAAGTAGCTATGCAGGAAGTAATAGGTAGTACTGCGGTAGTACTGCATTAACACCGAAGTTAATACTATTAACTAATATGGAAGCAATATTAACTAAGCATTAAGTAATAGGTAATTTAGTACAAAGGTAGTTCCTTGGTAGGTATTTGATTGTTACTAAAGAAATATATCCTCATTGAGACTACTTGTGAACTAAGAAATAATAACCAATTAATTACTAATCACAAAAGTAACTAAAAAGTGAACAATTGTGGGGGTTTTATACTCTTAACGTGGTCATAACATTTCAGAAGCATGTGCCTCAAATGGGTTCTTTGTGGAAACCAGTTTATGAAGTTTATATATCCCCCCAAATACATTAGCTAGGTTGAGATTGTGACCACTAATCTTGCCAGGATGGACGCAGGATGCTTAGTTAATATTGCTTCCATATTAGTTAATAGTATTAAGTTTGGTGTTAATGCAGTACCTATTACTTCCTGCATAGCTGCATGTTAACTACGGACCATTATTTTAAAATGTTACCGCTTTTTCTTTTGCACTAGAGCAGTTTGGCCTGATTTTGTTTGAAATTATGTCACATCAGTTTCGTTCTTTGATTTTACTTAAAGCAGGGGTTCTCAACCTTTTGCAAGCTGCCCCCCCCCAAAGCTGGTTCATTGCAGTTAGGGCCCCAGTGCCAAACTCGACATTGTTTGTCTGGGATAGCAAAAAAGGAAGGCAGGGCTTACCGATAGATCATATGATACATTGTTATCCAGCCCATTCTCACCCCCAAGGCGTCACTTAACTGACGCCTTGGGAAGCATTTGGACATGCTTCAATATCTGACGCTTTAGGCGCCCTTTAGCGTCAGTTAGATGACGCCCTAGGATCGCGTGTACCCTACCCCCACCCCACACCTAAACCTAACCGCGTCCTCTAACTGACGCTTTCCTTTAACGTCAGTTAGATGACGTTACAACAATTATATATATATATATATATATATATATATATATATATATTTAGGGCTGTGCAAAAGTTAATTGCGATTAATCGCATCCAAAATAAAAGTCTGTTTTACATAATATATTTGAGTGTGCTGTATATAATTATTTTGTATATATAAATACCTATGCATGCATGTATATATTTAAGAATTATTTGTGCTTAAATTCTGTATATATATATAAATACATAATCTATATTATATAAATATAAATATTTTATATAGGAATAACACATTTTCTTAAATATATACATGCATGTGTGTGTATTTATATATACAAAATAATTATATACAGCACACACAAATATACTATGTAAACACAGACTTTTATTTTGGATGCGATTAATCGCAATTAACTTTTGCACAGCCCTAATATATATATATATATATATTTGAGAACATTCAAGCATGAAAACCTATTCTAGTTGA